TTGTCGTCTCATTGTTGACGGTAGTTGTAGTCTAGAACGCCACAGTGAATGCTGAGTTATAGCACTGAAGCATCGCTCCCAGGGAAAGTACAGGATCAGGGTCCTGAGTCTGCAGTCACCACATTTTTGTCAACCAATCAATACAGAACCTTGAGTGTTTCTGTGTAAAGACACCTCATCTAATCTACACTGTGGATTCGTTCACACTCAACTCACGGCCAACAGCGCTGTAACTCACGACTAAAAGAAACTCATCTAACGCACATATTTTCTCCAAAAGGCACATACAGCCTTCTTGGGCTCAGGACACTAGACAGCATTTCAGCACATGCTGGAGGGCTGTTTCAAACAGTGAAATCACCCACAGCAAACACAAAAATGTGACATTAAATAGACCATGAAAAGGACACTAGTTTACAGTCTGAGCTGAAACGAGAAGGCAGACCCTCATGTTGTCCAACTCCAGCTGGGAACGGGCACAATGAGTGACTCAGATTTTTGCCCCTGTGCTCGTGCCCACAAATGACCCCAAAAGCAAGCACTGCAAGTATTGATTTAGGGGTTACAAGTACATTTTAGCAAGTAGTCAAATTCACAAATACAGAATCCGCGAACACTACCACATATAAAATAGACGACCAATAAGGACCTACTGTACAGCACATGGAACTATATTCAATATCTTGCAATAACATATAAGGGAAAAGAATCTGAAAAAGAATAGACCATATATGTATATGTGTATAACTGAATCACTTGGCTGTACTCCTGAAACTAACACAACACTGTAAATCAACTCTACTCCAATAAAAATAAAATAAAAAGAATAAGGATGGACCGTACCTGTAAAACTTCGTTAGTGGTTGTTTGCAGAGTTACCTGTGCTGGTTTCAAGCGTACTCATATTACATTTACTCTTCGGAGAATCTTCTGCTATGAAAATAGAGGGTCCAGCTAGGTAAACACAGAATGCGGACAAACAGCCTATCACAAGGCACTCTGTTTGCACAGCTATCAACGTGCAGCCTTTACTCACTCTGTAAAGGTGGCACCTAGCCACGCACTCGGTGTACACAGTAACTGAGTGCCAGGCACCACATTTGCCTGTCTCTTTAGTACCTGTAAGATACGAAATTCCTGAACTCAGCCCATAGCTGCGTTCATCTGTAAACAGAGCTGCTTGCTTTTTTTAAAAGCAGGGGAAAAGCCGTGCCCTGAGCCACTTTACAAGTTGCTGCTATTATGTACACAGCCATCTGCTAGCAGCTCGTCTCACACATCCGAGGTCCTAGCGGGACTGTTTAAGCAAGAGTCATGATTTTCAGGGTTTGGAAGGGATCATCCCCCCCAAGCCTTTATTTATCTCTTGAAAAGTTTTTTTCTTTCAGATTGACTGTTTGCCCAAAACAATCAAAACATCAAAAAGTTTTCCTTGGCTAGAGGGATGAATTGGGAGTTTGGGGTTAGCAGATGCAAACTATTATATAGAGAACGGATAAACAAAGTCCTACTGTAGAGCACAGGGAACTATATTCAGTACCCTGTGATAAACCATAAAGGAAAAGAATACAAAAAAGGATGTATGTATATGTATAACTGAGTCACTCTGCTGTATACCAGAAACTAACACAACATTATAAATTAACTATACCTCAATAAAATGAATTGAAAAAAAAATGTTTTTTTCCTTAGCTAGAGCTGGCAGGCTTCTCCCACAGAGCTCTGCTCAAATGTCAGTCTGTTTTCCCAGACACTAGAAGCGTATCCTGGCAGAACTGTATTGGGGTGGGGAGGTGGCGTTTGGCATGGTCAGATGTTGTCATGGCAGGCCTCCCACAAAAAGGGTTCCTAACTTTTTATTTTCCCCAGTTTTTGAATTTCAATGAATTTCACCGTTTTAAAATTCCTTTTATCTTTCCCCCAGATTGTATATACAGACAGTTTTGGAATCAGCTGTTACTAAAAGGCTTGCCCAGCTGCCCCCTAACCCCCAGCCCAACTGCTTTGGACTCTCTGAGCTTTTTATTCAGGCACTGGTCACCTTCTTGTTAATAAGATGCTTCTATCTTATTGATTGATCCATCCTGGTGTTACGTGTTCATTTCCTGTTGGGTAGCTGAGTCTGTAGCTCTCCCAACCCTCGTGCATGTGCCTTCCCCACCCCGTGAATATAATTATATCATGACTCCAAGTTAATCAACAGTATTTATTTCCATCGTTGTAACCATATAAATAGTGTTTGCGGCAGAGCATGTTTTTTGTTTCTTTTCCCTGAACATCTTTTCTTCTTCTTTAATAACCAACAAATTTTTTCACCAGCTTAATTTTCTAGGGGCTTCTTGCTGGTTTCTCTTTTCAAATGCTCCACAGGCCTGACGCATGTCAGTAATAGTTTGTTTGTTTTTTTAATATTTGTTTGTTTATTTGGTTGCACTGGGTCTTAGTTGCGGCAGGCAGGCTCCTTACTTGTGGCACATGGGCTCCTTAGTTGTGGAACACATGTGGGATCTAGTTCCCTGACCAGGGATCGAACCCAGGCCCCCTGCATTGGGAGCGCAGAGTCTTCACCACTGCGCCACCAGGGACATCCCCAGTAATAGGTTTTTTTCAAACCCCAAGCCCAGTTCTAACAGTGCCTTTCTACCTGGACCGGGCATCCAACTGGTGTCCTCCCACCCGGGGCTCCCATGCCCCTCCCCCTGCCTTGAGACCCCACAGCCTCCTCATTCTCAGTCTAGACCCTAAAGCACATCCTCAGGTAGTTTCCTCAGGAAGGGTGGCTGGGAAGTGGATTTTCTGAGGTTTTGGGGGCTGAAGATAATTCTATTCTACTGTCACATTTAAATCATCGTTTGGCTGGGTAGCCCGTTCTAGGTTGGAAATAAATGTCCACTGTGTTGGAACCAGGGGTCCATTTTCTTTAGTGCCAGGTGCTGCATGGAGCAGACCAGCGCCACTGTGATTCCCGTTCCTGGGGATCCAACCAGCTGTTTTTAATTTGGAGGCTCCAAGAATCCTGTCTCCTGTCCATAAGGATCATGCATTCCCACACTTCATCGTCCAGGCAGGAAACCTCGCGACGCCGTGCCCCGGCTTGGATGGGTGCAGACTTTCTCCCTTCCACGTGCTCTGGGCATCTCCCTGCCTCAGTCTCACTTGCTAACGTTTTGCAGCCTGGGCTCCACCCTTGGGAACAAAGACTTGCCACCTTGGAAGCTGTTTTATAACACACGAGGCCAGGGCGGTACGCGCATCCCAAAGAATGGGGGACCGAACAAGAGATGGTGCAGGTATCAGAATGTGTGCGTCAGACAGGGTCTGATCTGAGCCTCCGAGGGCGGGGACACTCGGCCCGCACTGTGCAGTCTCTGTGCCAGGTCAGCGCGGCCAGGCTGGACCACAGTCCCCAGAATGCCACTTCCAGTTTGCTTCCCATCACACTGGGCCACAAGGGCTGTCCTCTTGGGGTATGGAAGGGGTCGTGGCCACTTTGTAGCATATACACACCTTCCCCCTGTCTAGCTGCTGGGGGAGGGAATCCTGCAGAGGCGGTTAAAGTCCATCATCAGCTGGCCTCAAATAATCCAAAGGGGGAAATTCCTGGGTGGGCCTGACTTAACCAGTTAGAAGCCCTTTGGGAGGACCTAAGTGGCACCCAGCAGAGACTCCAAACCACAGTGGGGGCTCCACTTGCTCTCCTTTGCCCTGGGTCCTCCGTCCTGACTGCTGCCTGGGACCACAACCTCTGCTGGTGGCCGTGGGGTCCAGCCTGCTCCTCATTGGCCCTTCCTGACCTCCGGCCTCTGGACTTTGACCTGCTTAGTCAGTCCCCATGATGGAGTAAGCTGACTCCCTGTAATAAATCCTGTAATTTACATACATATCTCCCATGGTTCTGCTTCTGGGTTGAGCCCTGACTGATACTGATTCCAGCAAAGAATCTGCCTTCTCCCGGGGGCGCTGCTGTGCTCAGGACTCCACTGTAAGGCTGGGTCCCCCGGGGCAAGCTCAGGGGTGGCCCAGGACAGTGTGCTCCCAGACCATCCTCTGGGACTTAGAAAGCCAAATTCTCCACCCATACCCAGAGACTCAAGTTTGAAAACTACTGCTCTTGGGGAATTGAGGTGTCCCACCCTCTGCTGATTTTTGTCCAGGTGCCCATGTGGAGTGAGCCGGCTGTGCTGACCAGGCCCGGGACACCCTCAGGCTCTCTTTCCTGTCTTCAAACCAGCCCAGGATCTGCCCCCAGAGCCTTGTCCTTAGAGGCACAAAATACTAAATGGAGCCCAGGCTCTGAAAGTCAAGCCTGCCCCTGCCCCTTACAGTGTGAGGACTCCCATCCGAAGGCTGCCCGGGGTTCTCAGCATGAGGCCAAGCTCACGGTGTCATGAGGAGGCCCCGCGTGATCAGGCCCCTCCCGGTCCTTCCAGCTCCTGACCCCCCACCCTCTCCAGTCACCTGCTCCCAGGGCCTTTGCACCTGCTGCCCCCCTGCCGAGGGCTCCCTTTCTTCACTGGGGACGCCTGCCCATCTTCACTCTCAGCCCTGATGTCACCTCCCCAGGCCTTTCCCCACCAGGGATTTTCCTAGCATCCTATGTGTTTCCACTCATCACAGCTTGGGATGATATATTTGTTCTATTTTTCCATATTTATCATCTATATTAACAGCTATCTTCCCATCGGCTCACCCAGGACAGACCCCCACGCCCTAGGAGGTTCTTCTGGATAAAAGTTTGTTAAATGGATAAACGGCCCTCTGTGCGTCACTCCACGTCTCCGAGGTTCAGTGTTTTTAGCGGGGAAACAGGGCTGATGACATCCACCTTGCAGGGCTACTCTGAGGATGAAACGAGATGACAGTCCCTGGCCCCGTGTGTGGCCGGCAGGGGGCGCTCAAAAGTCCCAGCAGGTGTGGCTGGCGGTTAACGCCCTCCCCACAACTTGGCTAATCGCCTCCCCAGGCTAGAAGTGCCCTTCCCTCTGTGCCTGCCACTCAGCCCCAGGAATCTGCTCCCCATCTGTCTCCACCACTCCCTAAAGCTCCTCATGCACGGGATCTGTCCCTTCATCATTTTCATCCCGTTGCTGGGTATGGTGCCGGCACAGAAGGGACCCCAGGGGTCTTACGTGGGGCTCCCCAGAAGCAGGTCCTGGGACAAGGGCCCCTGAGCGGGAGATTTATTGAGGACCTGCTCGCATTAGAAGCCAGTGGGAAAACTGAACAAGGAAGAAAGAAAGGGGAGGGGGCCGAGACAGGGTGGAGCTTCAGATTGACCTCAAGAGGGGCCCCACCTGAGGCCAAAGAGCTGAGCTTTCACTCCAGGCACCGGCTAAGGGTGGGAGGGCAGGGGAGGGCAGCAGCTCCCAGGTGCTTCGATTCTCTGGGCTGGGGCCGTGGACTCCACGGAGGCGAGGTCAGTCACTCCTCCCAGGAAGAGCTGCGGGAGCTGTGTGTAAATGCAAAAGTATGAGGGGGGGCAGAGGAGGGCACGCAGATGGTGGAAGGACCCAGAGGGGGTTGGGAGAGCCCCAGCTACGCATCACGCTCCACAAAGCTTCCTCCCGCTTCCCCGAAGGATCGCCCTGACGTGAGAAGGAGTTTCTTGAAGACTGCAGAGGGACAGCTCTCTGTCTGGCGTTTCAGTCAGGATGGCCAGCCTGGAGAAAAGCGAGCTATGATTGCTTGGACAGTGGGTCAGCCTCCAGCCTGGCAAACTCCACTTGCCTCTGTGGTCCAACCTGGCCCCTGGTGGCTCTGGGGCCCCGGGCTGGTGGGTAGGAGAAGGACCAGGAAGCCTGGCATCCCGCTGCAGCCTGAGAAGTGACCACTGCTGCTCAGGTGAGAGCTGGCTTGGTAGACCTTTTTCCAAGGAGAGGATGGGAAAAGCCACATGGAAAATCCTGACTTGGCCAATTAATACGAGCAGCAGGAAAATCCCTCAGTTGATTCCCTAACAACCAATCTCTGTTCCCAGGTCCATGGGAAGGCAGAAAAAAATGGATCCCACGTGAAGGAAAATTGAAGCGTGCCCAAAAGTTCATCAGGACTTTCCTGTCTTCCCTCTCTGGGTTCCCAGCCGGCAAAAGTTGCAAGAACATGTCTCCTTGTTTAAGCAAGGTAATTTGATCCGGGCAATAATCATCATAAATATTCATGGTTTTGCCTTAACATTAGGATAACATCTGTTTCCAAACATCTGCAGTCTGTTTTCAATGCTTCAGTAAAATGTAAATTAGCTCTAACTAATACAATAAAGCACTAATGGGGATAATGGTAATGAAAGCTGCCCATTAGGGCAGGAGTCCAGCCCCGTCTCTAGTGGCCAGTTTTCTGGAATTCTCCAGAACTTCCCTCAAATGGAAGGGGCTTAGGAAGCCTCTCCTGGCCTCCTGGCTTGCTGCCTAAACCAGCTAACTCTGCACTGGCCAGGGCCCCCTCTGGGCCTCACCCTTCTCCAGAGGATGCTCACAGATCTTTCTAGAAGTCGCGTCCACCCAGGCAGGTCCCAAGCACAGAGCCCTCTCATGCTGCAGAACAAGGTCCAATCTCTTGGCCTGCAAACCAGACCCGTCACCTGTCCCAGCCCCAGCTCTTGCTAGCATCACTAACCCCAGCCCCAGAATGCCCAGCACTCTCCGTTCCTCGAAGGTCCCAAACACCCCTTCTCTTTTGTGTGTCCTTTACCACTAGGTCATTGGCCCCATGCCGGGAGCACCCAAACACAGTGAGGAGAAGACCAGCTGACAGTTGTGAAACAGACTGGGCCCTCCTAGGAGAAATGTTGATAGTTTATAATTTCACTCTCACTAGTCATAATTATTTTATTTTACGGAAGTTTAGTTGATTTACAATGTTGTGTTAATTTCTGCTGTACATCACAGTGATTCAGTTATACACATATATACATTCTTTTTCACGTTCTTTTCCATTATGGTTTATCACAGGATATTGAGTATAGTTCCCTGTGCTCTACAGTCAGATTTTGTTGTTTATCCATTCTGTATATAATAGTTTGCATCCGCTAATCCCAAACTCCCAGTCCAAGCTTCCCCCACCCCTTCCCCCTTGGCAACCACAAGTCTGTTCTGTATGTCTGTGTGTCTGTTTCTGTTTTGTAGATAAGTTCATTTGCGCTATATTTTAGATTCCACATATAAGTGATATCATATAGTATTTGTCTTTCTCTGTCTGGCTTACTTCATTAGTATGATCATCTCTAGGTCCATCCATGTTGCTGCAAATGGCATTATTTCATTCTTTCTTATGGCTGGGTTATATTCCATTGTATATATGTACCACATCTTCTTTATCCATTTCTCTGTCCATGGACATTTAAGTTGTTCCCATGTCTTGGCTATTGTAAATTCACTAATCATAATTTTAAACAAATTAAAACAATGATGAACAATAAATAATAGTATGGGTTTATGTTGTTAGGTGAAATAGCTAAGTTGCAAAAACAATTTGTGTCAGATGATTCTACTCTCTTTTATTTAAAAATAGGTATACATATTGGGGAAAACTCTGGGGAAAATATGGATGCAAATGCATCTCTTAAGAGATGCAACTCTTAGCCAAATTGGTAAGAGTTACCTTTGAGACACAGAATTGGGGTAGGTGACTTTGTTTTCTTATTTGAATTTGTTAGAGAAATATGTCCTGTATTTTTTAAAGAAAGCCACTTATTAATTTCAAAGGGGAAAATAGAAACTTTATTATGAACCAATCTGGAGGCTACCCTCTTAACCAAGTTATCAAAATGAGCGTCACCATCAATGGGACCAGCTGACATCATGTACCTCCTGACATGATGTGCCGAGGAGGACATAACGTCCCTTCTGCGGTCTCCCTGACAAAATGCACAGCCTGGTCTCCCCGCCATGGTCCTCTCCCCGACAGCTCTGTGAGGGCCTTCTGCTCTGACCCCTGGCACTGGGGAACCTGGGGGCTGAGGGCCCTTAGCCAGTCAAGTTCATCCACGTGGCAGCTGGCGTGGGGGCAGAGCCAATGGGGGGTAGAGGCTGAGGAGGAGCCAGCCCAACACGGTGGAGTCTTGGCTTTAGCCCAGCAGCTGAGCGGCTCGGGGCAAGTTCCTGAATCTCTTAAGCCTCACATGGGTCAAGGTCTCAAGATAACCAGTACAGTCTCTGGCACATTCTGGAAGTTCAACGACTCATCAACTTCCCCTTCTTTCACTTCCTTCTCTGGTGAAGACTGCCCAAAGCATTCAAAGTGAGGCTGAGAGATAGCTCTTTCCCTCAGTTTCAGTAGTTAGTCAATGAAAATACGTTTGCATGTCGACAAGCATGTGTATTTGAATTTTAGATGAGTTAAATCATTGCTAAAAGTTCTAGTCACTAAGGATAGTTTTTTTAAATGGCAAAAAGAAGTGATTAAGTGAAGATTCACTGTAAGAGTTACTGGCGTGTCTCGTGGTATGTGGACCTGAGTCAGTCACGTTACCTGCACGTCCCATAACTTCAGCCTTTGGTTTCTATTCATGGATGGTGTGAATGTTGCCTTCCTATATCTAAATTTAATTTCTGTTTGGAGCCCCTACTGCACTGCTGGTGTAAACTTAGGTTCAGTCCATTCAGAATACCCTATTTCTTTCCTGAGGGCTTGAAGTCACAAGCATCCCACTCTGGAATCACAGGGACATCTTAATTCTGGCTGCTGTTGGGTTGCCAGGCTGGCCCATGTCTTCAAATCCCCTCTCCAACACCAGGAAGCACCACTGCTCCCTTGAGCCTGGGCTCAGGGAACCTCTGCAGACTCAGGCCCATCTGCCCATGCAGCGGCCACTTCCCTGGGGTCTGGCCACCTCCTAGGAATTCTGCCTGGGAAGGGGAACCCTGTGGTCATCAGCTCTGATCACCAAGCATCCCCAGGTCTCCTTCCAGGCACTCCTCTGCCCCCTTGAATTAGATGTGGACTCTGACATGCTTTAACCAATGAAAATTGAGAAGTGACAAGTGGTACCACCTGGCAGAAGCTTTGAGAGCCAGACTGCAATTGGCTGTACTTCTCTTTTCCTCTGTCGTGGACATTAGTGTGATGGTGACTGCTCCATCAGCCTGAGTCTTGGAGCGAGAAGCTGTGGGCAGGATCCCCAGCCTGGGTCCTGGGTCCTGAGAAGAGAGCTCCCAGTCTACCCATGATGGATGTGGAGTGACCGTGAGACATTAACCTTATTTTGTTAAGCCAAGGAGATTTGGCCTTGTTTGTTACTGCAGCAAGGCCTACCTATCCTGACTGCTACAGACACAAGTTTCCTCTGCTCTTGACCTTCAAAAACAACCTAGTGTCTAACATGCATCCTTGCTCAGCCAAGCAGAGCAGGGCAGGAGGCCCTCTCCTCAGGGATTTTTCTTTGATGCCACCCTGTTTCTTGTTGGTTTTTCGCTCCCTGGCCTGGCGTCCATCCCCTCAAGGCTGCACTTTTGAAACTTAAAAAGCAAGAAATGACTCTATTTTCTCTACTGTCCTGCTGTCCTGCTCTGAGGCAACAAATGCAAACTGACTAGGGGAAGACCAGGGGTGACAGTGGGATGGAGAATGAGAAATGGGATGGATTGGGAATAGAGAACGTGAGAGGCTGAATAATAACCCCCCAAAGATGTTCATGTCCCAACCCCCAGAACCTGTGAATAGGTTGCCTTAAGCAAAGGGGCCTTTGCCGTGTGATTAGGTTAAGGGTTTTGAGAGACAGGGGGATTATCCTGGGTCATCTGGGTTGTCCCAGTGCAATCATTAGGGTTCTTGTAAGATGGAGGTAGGAGGATCAGAGTCAGAAGGAGACATGAGGACAGGAGCAGAGGTTTTAGTGGTGGACTTGGAAGAAGGAGGAAGGGCCCATGAACCAAAGAGTGTAGGCGACCAGTGGAAGAAAGGCAAGAAAACAGATTCTCCTCTGGAGCCCCCAGAAGGAATACAGCCCTGCCAACACCCCGATTTTAGCCCCGTGAGATCCAGGTTGACTTCTAACCTAAGAGCTGTAAGATAATAAATAAATCTGTGTTGTTTAAGCCACCAAGTAGGTAGTGATTTGTTACAGCAGCCATAGGAAGCTAACACTCTTGGTTCTAGTTAAAATATTATCCCGCCACATATGCAGTCCAGGTGGGGTCACCAGGGTCCGTCTGCTCTTGTTATCGGTTTCACACAAGCCCAGCTGTTTTGCCCCCACACTGCTCTCACTAGCCCATCCACTGCCTCTTCCCTGATTTCTTTCCCCAGTATTCCAGCCTTCTGGACCCCTGTATCTTCTTCAGACTGAGGATCTACCTACTTGTTTTGAAAACCCGAAAGACCTACTTCTTTGCCTTCTGCTTCCTCTGCTGGGGTGAACCCTGGTCTCCGCTGCTTATTTGAGTTCTAACACAGCAGCCACTCCAGAAGGAGAGGCCCTTTCTGCCACCGCTTCTTCAGCCCCCAACCCCAGCTGTTTCCTCCCTAAGGGTGTATCCAACCCCCACCACCTCCAGCCTTGACAGAGCAGGGATGCAGGGGTCACAGGCTTGATCTTTCTGGGCTCCTCTAAGGCTGCTGTGCCCAGAATGGTAGCCACTACTCCATGTGGTTATGCATATTTAAATTAAATTAATGAAAAGAAAAGTCTCCGTGACCCAGTCAGGTTAGTCACACTTCAAGTGCTTGATAACAACACAGGGCAATGGCTACTGTATTGGATGGCAAAGATATGGAAATTTTCGTCATTGCAAAAAGTTCCATTGGACAGCCCTGCTCTGAGGCATTCTTCTTTCCCTTTAATGCCTTTAAAGCCCTGGTCAGCTTAGAGAAAGGAACACCTGTTTACACTTACACCTATATTCTCTCTCCTCAGAGCATTTGTATTTTCTGCCTCTTCTCTGCCTAGGGAGTGGCTATTTCCAGCCCATAATAAAGGATTTCCAATATGTAGGCTAAGGCCATGGGCCTTCCCTTACTGTAGAGATTTGAAAGCTTAAACTGCATTTCTCAGACACACCTGTCCACACCATCTAGTTCACTCCTGTGGCTACTTGCGTGGCTTTGCCTCCCTAATCCACACGTGTTTTACTCTGCATCCATGATTCAATAATTCCAGCGCAGTTAAGTGTGATTTCTTCCCCAGGAGCAGCAATTCTTTGGAAATCATGTCTCAATAAGCTCACCGTTATCTCCTTGGCAATCTCCTCACAGCAAAGACAGCTGAGAGCCTCCACCCACGTGATCACCAAATATTTACTGGACACCGCTGTAGGTGAATAGTGACCCCCCCCGCAAATCGGTTGAAGTCTTAACCCCCAGTACCTCACAATGTGACCTGATTTGGAAATAAGGTCACTCCCGATGTAATTAGTTAAGATGAGGTCGTACTGGAGCAGGATGGGCCCCAAAGCCGACTGACCAGTGCCCTTTTAAGATGACCTCTTGCCTTCTGAGATGGCCCACACTCTGTCCGTGGAGTTTTTCTCCCAGGGACACTCTCACCTTCTGAGACGGACCTCATTCTGTCTATGGAGTGTGTATCTCTCTAAGTAAATCCAATTCTTACCTTAAAAAAAGGAAGAAAGATAAAGGCCATGTGAAGACAAAGGCAGAGACTGGAGTGATGCAGTGCACACCAAGGAACATCAAAGATGGCCAGCAACCCACAGAAGCTAGAAAGAGGCAAAAAAAAAAAAAAAAAGGCTTTGTAGCTTCTATAGCCTTCAGGGGAGCATGGCCCTGCTGATACCTTGATTTTGGACTTCCAGCTTCCAGAACTGTGAGACCATAAATTTCTGTTGTTTTTAACAACCAGTTTATAGTACGTGGTTATGGCAGCCCTAGAAAAGTAATACCAGGCAACAGTCTGAGAGCCGGGGTCCAGGGGGAAGGACGTGGTGTGATCTCCATCCTCTG